TGTTTGGGCTCATTTTAAAGCTCGTTTCAAGCTGAGTGTGATTACAGCGTTAGTTTCTCAAAATTTCCAGGTTTTGGGGTGTAATTTGAAATTTAGAAAAATATTGAATTTCAAAAATGGCTCATTTTTCTCCAATTTTTTGCCAAAAAAAAACGTACCCCACTGCCAATAGTCGCACCAACATACAGTACCGGGTCCGTGGTTAGATTCGCAGGTCCTTGACCCACAAAAATGACCACAGATGATGACGTGTCATTGGAGACGCGTGGTTCGATGGCTTCCGAGATGACTTCAGAGATGTTGTGCAGGTTTCTGAGACGGCAGCGACCCTGGAATTTAAATTTGAGTTCAAAACTACAGTAATCTTTGCTAGGATTACTGTACCTGATACAAATTACTGCACTCTATCAGTTTCGATGATTTATCATAGACGGCGAGGGCTTTCGTGTGGGAATTCGTTCGAGACAGTTGATGGCGACAGTCTTCACGGTTTCGAGCATCTGGAAAATATGATTTTGGGTTACTGTAGTTGCAGAACCTCTCAAAATATGAAAGTTGGCGCGTTTAGGTTCATTGACATCAATTTTAGAGTCTTTTAGACCGATTTTCAGTCATTTTGAACCATTTCTCTTCAATTTTAAGCTAATTTTCAGCAGTTTTATTATTTCAATGTCCCATCAAACAATTTTTGAAACATGTTTTTTAATATTCGTCTGTTTCCAGGTCATTTTCTGCTCATTCTGCCCTAAAACGGACCAAAAACGGACCAACGGCGGGCCAAAACCCATAACTTCTTTCAAACTCAATATTTTTGGACCAAATAAAATGGGGTTGATAGAACTTAAAGAGTTCTACAAAATGGTATTATTTGAGTTACTGTATATTGTCTATGAAAAAAGTAACAAGCCCAATAAAATGGGGTTCAAGAGAAATCCCCACGCTAATGGAATGAGCCGCCTCCCCCCACCTCTCAAATTTGAGCCCATGTATCTCATTTTTTGTAAGAGATATCAATAAGTTGTTAACTGATAAAATGTTGCTGATAACATGATGAACATTTTATCAGTTGACCACTTTTTTATATCTCTCACAGTAACCGAGATAAGTCATCTTAAAGTAGACGCCTTTTTTATCACTGGATTTTGTGATTTTGGTAGAAGTCGCTTGTCCACTTTGAGCCCAGATATCTCCGTTCCTGTAAAAGAAATCAAAAAGCGGACAACTGATAAAACGTTACTGATAATATGATAAACATTTTATTAGTTGACTACTTTTTCGTATCTCTTACAGTAGCCTAGATAAATTAGCTCAAACTTGACTAAAAGCTAGGGAGAAGGGGAGAGGGGGGAGGTCATTCTTATGGTATTTTGCTCATAACTTTGCTTTTTGACAAGCTACAATAATTCAATTAATATCATTTTGTAGCTCTTATGTTTTTCTGTCATATCCAATTTATTTTGTCTAAAAATATGTATTTTGAAAAAAGTTATAAATCTATTTCTGGGTAGGACCGGTTGTTTCTCGTATTTAGCTCCTATTTAGCTCGTTTGAGCTCAATTGTTCTCCAATTTTCTATATTTTTCGATTATACATCCCTTTTATAATAATCTCATCTATTTTTTGTCAGTTTAATACTAATACAATAGGGGACACCCACTTATACCGGGCAGGCAGGCGCGGCATACTTCAAAATCTAAATCCCTCTTTTATGTATTTCCAAGTGAGAGAGATGACAAGTGTGTTTCCGACGTCTTCTGATTTAGAAGACATCGATAGAGAGAATCAGAAGAAGGGGAAGACCCCCTTCCCCTTATAAGGACCTCAAAAGAGGATTATGGTAATTAGGGGGACCCTCCCGCCCCCCCCCCTAATTTGTCATTTCTTGACTCTCTAGGAAATCAAAATGGACCACTCATTTGTGTTGAATGTATGCAAGTTTTAGGGTCCATGGGAAAAGGGTCCCATGGGAATTTTCAATTTTGGACAAACAGACACACAGATGGATTTAAAGGTTTCTTTTAAATTTGGGTGTTCCATAGAGCGCAAGTGCACGTTTTTTCTTTGCAAGAAGGGTTCAGTTAATTTTAGTTCATATTTGTTCAAAATATTCAATTTTGGCGCCAAATCGCAAAATTCAAAAAAATTCAGATTCCTACCTCTACAAAGTGGCGAATCGTCTTGTGGACCCGTTTGTACGTGTCGACGGACCGTCAAATCGTCACTCGTCAAATCGTAGAGACCATTGACCGCGCCGACGAATACCCGTGTTGTTGATGGATCGATAGCCTGGAAATTTTTTTTAATTCTGGATTTTTGGAAATTTTTTTTCCAAAAAATCGAAATTTTGAGTTTCCGGATTCAAAATTATTTATTTTTATATCAAATTAATACTCAGAACTTTACAAGCTTTAAAATGAGCCCAAACACGACTAGGCTCCGCGTACTTTGGTTTTTCAGACGCGTCGCGGTCGTGCGTCGCGTGCTTTGTTGAAATTTCAAAGTGGGAGGAGCTTAGCCGTGTTTGGGCTCATTTTGAAGCACTCGATGAGCAAAATCTATTAAAAACTGTTAAACCTGGATATCATCGTGCGAATTTCAAAAATTCAAATGTTCAATATTTTCAAAAAAAAAATATTTTTTTCAAATTCTCTAAATTTCCCAACATTCTCCAAATGTTTGTATTTTGATGTCAAATTTGCATTTAGCTCATCAAGAGCTTTGAAACGAGCCCAAACTCGACTAGGCTCCGCCCATTTTGAAATTTCACCTAGACACGCGACGCACGACCGCGACGCGCCTGAAAAATCAAAGTGGGCGGAGCCTAGCCGTGTTTAGGCTCATTTTGAAGCTCTCAACGAGTCAAACAATAATTTGATACTTGTTATATAAAAGTTTCAAGTTTTACCAGTTATTTTTCGCGAAAACTCGAGTTTTATGAAAATTTTGAAAAACTTTTTTTGAAATTTTATTTTTCAACAATTTTGAATTTTTTAAAATCTCACAATTTCAATTTTCCGGGGTGTAAAACGCGGGAAATTCAAATTTACAAGTTTCAAATCTCTCCAATAGCTCCTTTTCCCAGTTTTCTGCTCAACAAGAGCTACAGTAACCCAGGAACCCCGAAATTCGGATTTAGGTCATTCTTAATCTTTTTTAGGCGAATTTTTAGGATTCCGGACTAGTTTTTCAGGCTGAAAATGCTGAAATTTTCGATTTTCAACTAAAATGGCCATTTTCAGCAAAAAAAAAACCGGGAAAAATTTTTTTGGTACAAAAATTTTTTTTTGGAATTTCTAAAATTTCCAAAAATCAAAGACTTACCATTTTCTCAAAGACCTCCTGTCCATTTTGACTGGGATTTTCAAAAACGAGATTATCATCGATCGAGTACACATTGTTGCTGTTTTTAGCCGCCGCCAGGACCCGATTGCTCAGCAATAAAGGCAATAATAAGAGGAAAAATTGAGGAAATTTGAGCATTTCATGGCCTATTTTTCATTCATTTGAGGTGTACTGTAGAATCCTATCTATCTATATTGGATGGATGGCTTGGCGGGAAATCCTGTAAAATTTGAATTTTTTGAAATTTTTTTAAAATCAAAAATCAATAAAAACCGGGCGGAAACGATAGAGTGTGTTCTGACCTACATTTGTTTAATGTGTGATGTGATAACACACACACAGTTCTTATCATTTTTTATCAATTTGGGGGGGGGGGGGTGGAAAAAGATGGGAAAATGACCAAAAAATGGGGGAAAATAACTTTTAACTTTGAGCCCATTTATCTCATTTCCTGTAAAAGATATCAAAAAGTGATCAACTAACAAAATGTTGCTGATATTATAATAAACATTTTATCAGTTGACAACTTTTTGATATCTTTCAAAAGAAGTGAGATATATAGGCTCAAAGTAAACGGTCCGGGTGGCGTTCTAGAGGAAAAATCAATTTTCAGCATTAAAAATGGCTGAAATATGGCTGGAAATTGAAAAATATAGGAAACGAAAAAAATTGCATTTAAAGAAGCTTAGAAATTCAGAACTTTCAATTTTAAAAAATTGTTTTAAAAAAATTTTTTATTAAAAAAAAAATTTTTTTTTGAAACTTTTCGATTTTTCCCAAAAAAGGGATAAACCTCTCAACTTAAAAGTTAAGTATGTTTCTCATACTAGTGGTTAAAAACGTTTTTGCGGTTTGACCCAGAAAAAAAAACCGGAAAATTCGTCTTCTTTTTGGTTAAGTAGTACGTACTTGGAGATTGGAAGGGGGGGGGTGATTCAGAAATTCAGAAATTCAGAAATTCCAAAAATTCAGAAATTCAGAAATTCAGAAATTCAGAAATTCGGAAATTCAGATTCGGAAATTCAGAAACTCAGAAATTCAGAAATTCCAAAAATTCAGAAATTCAGAAATTCAGAAATTCAGAAATTCAGAAATTCAGAAATTCAGAAATTCAGAAATTCAGAAATTCAGAAATTCAGAAATTCAGAAATTCAGAAATTCAGAAATTCAGAAATTCAGAAATTCAGAAATTCGGAAATTCAGAAATTCCAAAAATTCAGAAATTCAGAAATTCAGAAATTCGGAAATTCAGAAATTCAGAAATTCAGAAATTCAGAAATTCAGAAATTCAGAAATTCGGAAATTCAGAAACTCAGAAATTCCAAAAATTCAGAAATTCAGAAATTCAGAAATTCAGAAATTCGGAAATTCAGAAATTCAGAAATTCAGAAATTCAGAAATTCAGAAATTCGGAAATTCAGAAACTCAGAAATTCCAAAAATTCAGAAATTCAGAAATTCAGAAAAACCAAAAATTCAGAAATTCAGAAATTCAGAAATTCAGAAATTCAGAAATTCGAAAATTCAGAAATTCAGAAATTTGGAAATTCAGAAATTCAGAAATTCAGAAATTCCAAAAATTCAGAAATTCGGAAACTCGGAAATTCAGAAATTCAGAAATTTCGAAATTTCAACAAATTTCAAAAATCTTAACTCTAGGGATCGATTCTTCAGGAACCCTAAAAGTGGGCGGAGCTTATATTCAAAAAAAAAATAAAAAAAGAAACAAAAAAAGTTTCGAAATATGGAAAAGAACACACAAATAGTGTCTATACAATACCTATACCACAGGCACAGTAAGAGAGAGTGAGAGAGTGAGAGACGCAGAGAGACAAAAAGAAAGGAATCTCCAAGGACATCGGAAAAGAAGAAGAAGAAGAAGAAAGTCAAGGGGGTCCCCTTCCTTCCAATCGAAGAATCACAATTCGATTCGAAAAATGTAGAGGCAGCGAGAGAGTGTAGAGGGGGTGAGAGACGCAGACAGCACAAGTGATTTTATCGAGCGGAGAAGAAGAAGAAGAAGAAGGGTTTGGGGAGGTGTGTGTAAAGTAATGAGAAGAGAGAGGGAGAGGGAGAGAGACGCAGAGAAAGAAACAGAGATACAATGAGTTAGCAGAGTGGGAACACCCCCCCCCCCCTCTTCTAACAAGTGTTTCAACTTTTGGCGTGGACATCCGGACATTTGGATAAACAGAAAATGAAGAAATGTCTACTTTTGGTGCATTAAAATGTGGAAAATCAAGTTCAAGAATCGAGTTTCTAGCTCTTCTAGAAGCCAAGTTATAGTGATTTAAAGTTTTGAAGGCTAGAGACGCAGCATGTCTCGTCGTCTGGCGTCTCTAGCCTCCAAAAATTTGAAGAGCTATATCTCAGCTTCTAGGCGGCCTAGAAACTTGGTTTTTGAACCGGAATGAAGCCCGGAGTTTTAGCTATCAGATAGCCAACATGACCAACTTGATGTTTTCCTTTAAAATCCGAGAATCACATCTCCAAATTTTCCGGAAAGGGGGTTTAATGCTTCAAAAGTAGAGAATTTCTTTGAAACTTTTTCCTCTTATTTTGCTCCGGGTGAGGAGCAAAATAATGAGCCAGTTTGAAGGTTTTATGGGGTCGTCTTCAGAACGAAAGAGACCACCACCACACGAAAATGATCAGAGAGGGGGCGGGAAATTTTAAAAAATCCCTTTTTTTCAAATAATTGATTTACCGTAAAACCTGTATTAGAAAGCCACCCGGATCGTTTACTTCGAGCCTATATATCTCACTTCGTTTGAAAGATATCAAAAAGTTGTCAACTGATAAAATGTTTATCATGATATCAGCTACATTTTATTAGTTTACAATTTGTTAATATCTTTCACAGGAATCGAGATATATAGGCTCAAAGTAGACGTCTTCAGGAGGGGCATTCTGTTGGAGGGCC